AACGGGATACGTCTCTGAATTGATAAAGTTGATTGATCTCAAAGCTTTAAAATCTTAATCAAATATTCTATTACCACAAGAGGTATTCCCAGCCGTTGCACCATTTACTCATAAACCAATCTGCAACACATTTTATCATTATTAAGACAATTAAAACCCGCCATATGTATTCCGCCGAAATATCCAGTCACAAGTTTGTCAATTTTAGCGAGTGTTTGCGACATAATTAATGTTTCAACGCCAACAATCGGTCACGTGATTTAAAGCTTTTATGCAAATAGGACAACCCTGTCCGTACTTACCTTGCCACATAAACAGCACTACAATTTATTAATTGCTGCTTTATGGGAGTTTCAGAAACTTGAATGAATAGAGTATGTTGATTAATTGGTTTTGCTGTCCGTGTGTATCAAACTTGATACGGGAACCTCGGTGTCGGGTGGTCGGCACAATTACGATGAGAAATCCAAGATGTCACAGTCTGCTTTTTGTAATACAAGGGTAGGAATTGACAGTGGGGTAGGATGACTTCAACAAACAGTAGAAACAGGATTGACATAGTTAAGGCTGTATTGTTGTTTTGTCGTTCTTACTGTCCGGGATTATCGTGTCAGTGCCACGGGGTGTGTGATGCAGAAGCCGTTTATCGGGATGTCTGATTGCTATTAGATGACGTTAACGTGAGATGTTATAAGGTTGAGAGTTTAAGTTATCTATGTATTTTAGACATTGTTTGTAATTCAAAATCTGTATCTTATATTTCATTCTTTTTCATAATTATTACTTCCCTAATCCATCCTGCAGACGTCAGTTTGTTATAACATATATTTTCGTTCCTGAAATAAAAATAATTATGTTTAGACTGAACTACTAATATTGATATAGATATATTATTATTTGTTTCATAAAACAATAGTTTTCAAAATCTGTATCTTATATTTCATTCTTTTTCATAATTATTACTTCCCTAATCCATCCTGTAGACGTCAGTTTGTTATAACATATATTTTCGTTCCTGAAATAAAAATAATTATGTTTAGACTGAACTACTAATATTGATATAGATATATTATTATTTGTTTCATAAAACAATAGTTTTCAACATGAAAACAATGCCTTTTCAAATATATCCTAAAATGTCAGTATAAGATATTGTTAGTTTAAAAATCAGTACGCTACATGTATCCTGTTACTGACATTGGCAATAGGTTCACAAGAAAGAAAAAGCTTATTACCCAGCATGTTTTACAATCATAAGCATCAACGATGTCATGGATATATAACCTGTGCTGGTATGTTTGACCTGAGACGGTTTTAGGTTTCATATTGATGTCCGAGAATAACGGATTATTATTTATGAAGATTTACTTTTGCCCCTGTTACGAAAATGTTAATTGATATACAGTAAAGTACGGTTATAACGAACTCAAAGGGACTACTAATTTCTGTTCTTTATAACCGTAGTTCGTTATAAGCATATATACAGTATAACTACAGCAAATAGTCGGGACAAAAAAGTAAGTTCGTTATATCCGTCAGTTCGTTATAAGCGTGTTCGTTATAACCGTAGTTAACTGTAAGTTTAAGGATTTGATTGGAAAGGGATTGGGGTGTTGTGTTCGTAAAACGCACGATTAGAGTGAAATTTATGTTCAAATGAAATTGTCAGAATTTTCTTGAAAACAAAAGTTAACAACAATTTCATTTTTGTCGGGCGATTGATTTTATCTTTTTTTATGGTTAAACATATTTTACATTAAAATGACATTTGACGATAAAATATGATATCCTCTTTGCCATTAAGTAAATGACTTAGTACCATGTTTGTCATTAACTAAATGACTTATTACTTTGACACAGCATACGGAAGGTGCATACTAAGATATACAGGTATCTCATATGAGTTGGGTCTGCCTCCGTGGTCAAATGGATACGAGCGTCTACCAGTAGAGCGGATGGTCGGTGGTTCGATCTCTTTGACCTAAAGACGTTAAAAGAAGGTAGTTTTTGTTACCCTGCCTGGCGCTTGGCATTAAGGGGCTGAAACAAGGACTGGTCGGCTCGGAGTCAGTATACTGAGGTGTTCGTGCGGCATGGTATCTCGGTAGGCTAGCGCTGTAAAACCGACGTAAGTCCGCACTAAAACAAGCAACCACGCACACGTGAACACGTGAATGCACGTCGCTACGTAAATGCAATAGTCTTGAACGCGACGTTAAACACAACACGCCAACGCCAGACAACAACTAGTCTCGACTCTCCACCGAAACAGACCCCATTTCACCTCACCTCACCTCACCTCAGCTCATATGAATTGACATATTGTATTACAACTGATTACATTCACAACAAGTGAAAAGACAAAATGCTTTATTTCACATAAACTATGGACACCACATGCCGTCAATCATTATCAAAAACTAAATGACCTCGATAACCAACATACCGTCCCGTCAATCCACAAAGTCAAATTGAGTTTGATTCCAGAGAATAAAATGACGAAGGGATTTCCATTTCTTTTAACGCGATTGTAATAAACGCGAACGTTTAATCTCATTGTTTGAATATGCATCAGAATATCTCAACCGCGAGCTATTAAATTTGCATGTGCAAAATTCATCCGATTAATAATAGTTGATATGTGTTCAAAACAATAAGAAAGTAATATTCCGAGGTCAACGTCGTCACGCACAGTTCCAACACAAAAAAACCAATGAGAATTGTTAAAGGTAACAGGTCAAGCTGTGCGCAGGTGTCAGATATGCGTGGTCAGGAGCTGGACAACTGTAACCGTTAATTGTTCTGGTCATTCTCCTAGCGGATACAACATGTGGCGTTTATAAAAAAAAGTGAAACAATATCACTAGGTTGTGATGTCAAACTGACCATGCGGGATTTGACCAGTCTGTGTGATTGATGGGTGATATTTGCATCAGAAATGATTCTAACATTTAGTATTCAATTAGCTTTGCCTGATGCGTCCACTTAATTAGAATAGACATTTATCGTTATTTTCAAGGCAAAATACTACAGTGCCTTTCAGCAGTTTTGGTAATTTATTGTGGAATCCGATGCGGTTTATGTACGTAAGGTGTTAATATCATTCATCCCTGTAGATACAGTTCGAATACTTTACATTTAACCATTTTAAAAAAATGAGGCTGGTAAAATACCATTTTTCATCCTTTTCCAATAAATTTCCTTACTCTCAACAAAATATGAATAAAATGTTATCATAGAAATGATATATCATATCATATTTTATACTAAATGTCATTTTCGTGTGATGAATATGTTAAAAAGAATTTCGTAAAGTGAAGAATTGTCATTTCAAATACGCATATGTCTATAACACCTGTGTTCCTTTCATCTGCTCTGAAACTGTGCATGAAATGCAGGAAAAATAAGATACAGACACGGGATCACGGACGTCCTGCGTGGAGGATCTGTTTACAAATATGTATATTTCAAAGGGCCCTTTTTTTTCCATCTGTCAAAAAGCACAATTCTCATTGTACATATATCACAGCTGTGTTACCCACCTGACTAATGTAAAATCAATAGATACTATGTGTGGTGGTTGTGGTAGTTAGAATTGTTGTCAGAAACACATTTGATGGTTTTGTTGTTGACAAACACATGGTATTGACACAGTATTGATATCAATATTGTGAATGTTAACAACAGAGCGTCCAATAAAGATTAAATATTACAACAGAGTGTACATTAATGGCATATTACGTATCGTTTCACAACTTAAAATAAACCGTGCACATTTCAGTCAATGAAGGGATATTTCACTTAAATGATTTTCACAATTGATATAAATTCGGATATCTGAGACGGATTTGTTTCCTGATTCATACACTGTCCTGCCAATACCGGACACCTTCGTTATCAAGGGGAAAATGAGTGGACGTCCTTTACGCTGCATCCGATACCTTCGTCCGAAATGAGGGTGTGCTTTGAATGAGGCGTGCATTTGAATTAGGCATCAACACGAAGGCGATGCGGCCCCATACAATGACCTTTACACGACGTTTTCATACGTCATTACTCACAGACTCTTACTTAAATGGAACGGGTGGTCACACTTGGTGAATACAAGGGCGGATCCAGCATTTTTAAAAGGGAGGGGTCAAAATATGAAAATCCTCTCTCAGATAATTTTACTGCTTTCAGCATACTACATTTGGTTTTCAAAAGGGTGGGGGTGGTGGTCAGAACACCCCCCCACCCCCACCCCCACCCACCCACCCCCCGACCAGCCTATGATTTGGTTGACAGCGAGGCGTACCACAACGACGCGGATCATTGCGTACGGTCGTGAAACTGGCGGGACTATTGCTGAGTGTGGAGTCAACAAGCAGACACTGACGTTGTTATGAAAGCTGTGGCGAGTGCTACCGGTGGGACACGACACGCTTACCTCGTGTCACCACTGATTATCAATGATCCATTCATATAATTTTAATATTTCTGTTGCCCTTTACGCCCAGTGGAATCATTATCGGCAGATAATCGAGACTGAATATTCACTGACGTTGACGTTTGGAATTAAAGAGAAACCTCTTTGCCCCAGCCGTTCTGCATCACAGCGTGTGGTGTCTGTATTAATGAGGTTCTGTTTCAAATCAATTTACATACGTTATGGAAAAATGTCTCACATGTTCCTAAATCACTCAAACCAAAATAATTTTTTGTAATATGTTAGCAATATTATGATTTTTAAATGAAAATGAAAACATATTTATTGTAAATTCTTGCACACAATGTAAATTTCCCCTAATCCAATGCAAATATGTTGTTTAGATGTGAATAGATGTCGCTGCTTTTAGATGTACTTGTAATACATCAAAGAAACATACCACAACAGAATGTATTAATAATATATCAGCGCCATCATTTATACACATGTCGTTTTGGGAACATGTCATTCATACGTTTATTTTAAAATGTTTCAATCTGTTTATTAATGAGTTGTAATGTTTGTATTTCAGGGTCCTCCCTGGTAGACGCATGCATCCATGGCAATATATCCAGGCTGTGTCAACAAATTGATGCAATGACGAGTGTTACTAGCCGGAATCGTACAAAGAATTTTGTCGCTTTTAATTGAGATTTAAATGATGTGTGTTGCGTCACCTGGATGGAGTATAGAGTAAATATACTATTGGTATTACCAAGCACGGCAGACTCCAACCCTTATATACGTGAGTTTTAGGACTCAACAAAGGTGTAGCTTCCTGTTTATGTATGTTCAAACTCATTTGCGTATTGCAACAGGTTTTTTTATAATATGTCAAAATATTATATGTCAAAATGATTTATGTAAACAATACAATACAGCAGCCGCAGCAATAGTTCGACAATGTACTTTTCAATGTTTATATTTCAGGGTCCTCCCTGGTAGACGCATGCATCCATGGCAATATATCCAGGCTGTGTCAACAAATTGATGCAATGACGAGTGTGAATTATATAGCCGGAATCGTACAAAGGAATTTTGTCGCTTTTAATTGAGATTTAAATGATGTGTGTTGCGTCACCTGGATGGAGTATAGAGTAAATATACTATTGGTATTACCAAGCACGGCAGACTCCAACCCTTATATACGTGAGTTTAAGGACTCAACAAAGGTGTAGCTTCCTATTTATGTATGTTCAAACTCATTTGCGTATTGCAACAAAATTTTTTATAAAGCATTACATGTCAAAATGATTTATGTAAACAATACAATACAACAGCTGAAGCAATAGTTTGACAATGTACTTTTCAGCTCAATTTACACCAATGCCAGATACGTTGACATCTCGCGATCTAATACAGCATTGAAATTAATACTATGCGATTTAGGTACTAATATTTACTGGTAAATAAAGTTTGACTTGAAAAAAGATGGTATCTATACGCATGGTGGTGTTTGATTCAATGCAATACTTAAATTCTTATGTTTATTTTGAGCATCTGGAAGTTAATTTCAAAGGCACACACACACACACACACACACACACACACACACACACACACACACACACACGCACGCACGCACGCACGCAAACACACACACACGCACGCACGCACGCACGCACACACACAAACACGCACGCACGCACATAAAAAAAAATACAAAGCAAGATGAGATGCGTTCCTGTCTGGAACTTGACGAGAGTGGCACTGACACGGCAAATGAGTAGCGAGGCATTATCACTTTATTCGCCTCGGAAACGTTGTAATTATTAAATTTGGCGTTGCACTGATTGGAGTACAGTGACAAGCATGTTTTTGTGACCACTGTTTGTTTGTTTGTTTATCATATTGTAGCTGTAGTATACAAAATCACATTCATAAAAAAATGTATCAGCAATGTAGGGAACAATACTATGTGGATTTTTGATTTGATAAATATTTAAATTTATTCCCCTTGTTGTGTATGCCGTGTTATTCGCCATTAGAGGCGCGATGTAAAACAACAGAAATACACGCTTAATGTTTTGTTGTATTACATCCCAACTAATATGAGTGCGAGGAGACATAGGTGGGGTGTTAATATTTCTATTATCTAAAAGTACTCCCTTATACTTGAGTAAGGAAATACAATACTGGACCTATTGAAAGTATAATACTTTAATGCATTTAGAATTCAGGTAGACGTGTAAATCCTACTGCGAAAATAGTCTGATCCCTCGTCAGATCTTTCACCAATTAATGTATTGTTGTGGGAAGCAGAGTCACATGCCTTGCTGAATTATCGTGTTATCCGTCAAAATAATTGGCAGCTGAACATGACGCCATGTTTTTTTTCCGTCTGCTCGACGCAGGCCGTCATTTTATTGACAAATGTAACGTAAAGATTTACACACACTCACTCACTCACTCGCGCCCTGTGACAAGCGATGCATTTATCGAAGCAACGTGAAACTCTACACCGTGTTTCCACACACTACTTGTTCCGACGACCAATATTTATTTAGAATTTATCATGAAAATCAGTGTCACGTAAAACCCTTTGTTTTCACAGGTTAGGTCTAGTCAATTATATAAATACGTCCTTTTTTATTACCTTGAAACTTGGGACCCGTTTCCTGAAATCTCCGAAACTAAATATTTAACTTCAAAGCAACGCTCGGTTATCCAAAGTTGTTTTTGCAGAGCACCTAGTTTTTGCTAATTCTACTTACTTCGCCCGTTTGATCTCGCGAGAAGTCAGCGTTAGCGAGAGGTCTTAGCGGGAGGAGAGTTTGGATGCGTTGGAATTTGATTTGGTTTCGGGTCGATTCCACTCGGCGAAAACGTATCCCCGAAAGCTGTTTTTATCTGAGATTTCCACTTAGTCGCAATCCCAATTACTGGACCCCAAATTAACAGCTGTCTGCGTGTATCAGCCGCAAGTCCAACTTCTCACTCGATACGCTTAACTTCTTTGGTGGTCTGCAATCCAGGTTCGAGTTACCTACCCTTGCTTCTTTGATCTCCGGTTCGGTATGACTTTGCCTTGTAACTCTACAACCTAGCTTGTCAGCGGGACCTCAGCTGATGGCGAAACTCACCCCCCAAGCATGGAAGCACCCCCTGATCTAAACCCTGATTAGGAGGGACGGAGACTCCAGAGAGACTCAAAGCACGCGATTTGAATTTTTTACACCCTCATGCCGCCATTTGTAATAATATAACCACAGATGGAACGCGGAGCTTGGGCCAAGTCACAAATTACAATAGATTATTTACACAATTCGTCGAGGCCGCGTAAAGGATATAGATCATCGACAGGTATACACTACATATGACAGGCATACGGAGACTAAAGTTGAGACGTGGTCTTGCCTGTGAGAAAGTCGTGCTCTCAGATCGCGTGCTTCTGGAAGAGAAAGCATGTTCATTCGATAAACGGCGATAGAATCATGCGTCTAGCGACCCAGAGAAAGGTGTTTACTTCCAAAAGCGACGTAGATCGTTTGATGTACAATTGCTCAACCCCTGCCGTGCAGGGATCGTGTATTAAGAGACGGGAACCTGATAAATTATGCGGTATCCAAGACGAGTAAATTGCACACCTCTCAGCTAGCGAACTGATGTGCGTGACTTTAGCCAATAAGATCTTGGAGAAATCAAATTACCGCCGTGTCTGCCTTGTGATGAAACCAGCGATCCTGCTCGAGAAATATGAATGTCCATTGCTCATTATCTTTCCTGAAAACAGAAGTCAAGAAGACAATGGTGGAAATGTCAACAAACGCTGACAGAAACACCCCGCATTACACACCCATACAGAATATAAGTACGTATCACGTTTCGCAAACCGCCGACAGAAGTGGCAAAACTACACAGATTTGGCACAGCCTTGATCATAATATGCTTTGAAAGAGTCGAGCCGTGACATGCGTCTCGTAATGTTATAAAGTCTTTTTATTCCAGTAACTTGTGAACTTGCTCTTATTGAAAAATCACGTCTCAAAGTTTGGCTCCAGTTTTGACCAGGCATATTGCGCTTTAAAAAAATGTAGCTTTTGAACAAAGATTTGTTGAATTTTGACAAACCCAAACTGACATTGATACAGTATATTTCTGTGAAGTTTGGGCGTTTCAAAACTAAGTTCACACGGACACTATACATTCATATATAGAAGGCTTAAGTCTACATGGAATTCAATATTATTCAACCGGGCCATATTATCATCATTGAGAAGGCACGTTTTTGTAGGAGAACCATATATTGCAATCATGAAATATTTGTACCAATGTTGAACTAGCTAATATAAAGACCCACATGACATCTGCCTGCTATATTGACTTATCCTGCATACCTATGCTCCGCATTATACACGCAGTCACAGGATATGCCTTACTGTACGTTACATTTTAATTATATTGTTGTAGGTGTAGCAAGGTTAAAACTGTGTATTATTTATACATACAGGTGTTTCAAGTGTAAGCACACATGTGAATTCAATTGCTTTACGCTTATCAATTGACGGAATGAGACTCATTCGGGGAATAGAGAAAACTTAACGAGGTATCGTCAATCGTCAGCGCGACATGCAATCTTGGCTGACTTGGCTATCTTCGACGAAGTCTGGGCACTTGGGTATGTAAACGAGCAATATATGTTGGAGATGGATGGCGAAACTATAATTTTAGCTAATAGCATAGCTTTGATAGCGAAACACCAATTACTTAGATTAAGTATCTGCGATCCACACATGTATATGCACATAGGTTCCATTTGGAGATCAGATAATATATTAATTATTATTATTAAAGTCTAATGTTTACAGGTAGTGACAATCATATTGTTTTACGCCGCAATCGGCTATATTCCAGCAGTCAGGATCATGACTTGCCTTATGTTATTTTTAAAGATCTAAATACACGTTTTACCGAACAAATATCTTGCAGCAGCTAGTATACTGTGGTTATGTGTTCTAAGGGTTGATGAATGTTGTTTTACGGCGTCCAGCTACATCACGGCTGTTGTGAATAATCGGGTAGGGCCAGGAAAACCAGTGGCTGACAGCATGAGTAACGACCCAAACCGTCGGTTTAAGAAGACACAAAAAGCAACCAGGTCACTCACTGTAAGAACCCGTTCAAGTTGAGCCTACCCGTATCCTTTTATTGACTTGGCCTGTCAGGACTATTGGCACTCCTTGGCTTCACCAAAATGGTAAACGTCTACGACCTGCTTCTTTTAGACTTTCCTTCCTCATTGAATTGAACTGACAAGGCGACGTTTCGGTATAGATCCGTATACCGTTGTCAAGCAAGACTGAATGAGGAACATTGTACAGAATATATATAGTGGTGGAGGATTAACAGAAGAGGATTAACAGTAACAACAATTGCATACATGATTGGGAGTGTTCCTCATTCAGTCTTGACGACAACGGTATAAGGATCTATACCGAAACTTCGCCTTTACAGTATTATAGGAGTTGTTAACCATAAATTGTGTCTACTTTGTCATCTGTCAGCTTCTAAGTAATGCCTATCAAACAATTCAATGTGATGCAACGCGAATGCTTTTCAAAGCGACACCAGCAGTTAACATTAATGCGAATACTTGTGTCATAAAGGACTTACCATTATGCAAATTGTGATAGCGGCGGGTGCGATCGGTCGGGCAGGACGCTAACACCGGTGTCGTCAGTGAATGTCAGGGATCCATTCTTATCACTTTCAGCGCTGATTTGCCTTTTACGTTTTTGTGGAATCTGTTTTGGCAGATAATCGAGACTGGTTTTTCTCTGGCGTTGACGTTTTAGAATTACAACATTGGATGATACTGAATGATCCGCAGATCCCCATTTTGATACACATCTGTTCGGAAAGTTTACTATTTTGGAATTCAGTATGTTGTATGTCAATTCGTGTCCTTAAGTGTCCACATTATCTAACGTTAAAACTACCAAAGTATGGGACGGTGACAATCTGGAGCTGAACTACGGCTGGGGAAGGAGCAGGTTCTCAACTCAATGTTGGGTAGAAAGTGACACCTGTCACATTTTAATATTAATGATATCAGTGCCAGACGAATTCTGCGATTCCGCGATCGCCCAACGATTGAAAAAAAGTGACATACCACAGAATTTGCATTTTTTAATCAATCAATATACTATTTGTCATTATTTTCAAGCTTTTGTATCGAATTTTTCACTCGAATTATGCCCCAACTTTAACATGCTATTCAAACATCCAAAATATGAATCCTACAAATACACGACATTTTTCATAATTTATACTCACGTTAAAACGTTCAAATGGTATCATGACTACATAAAGTTCAAAAGAATAAAAAATGAGTTGTATTATTATTATAATGTGTGTGTGTGTGTGTGTGTGTGTGTGTGTGTGTGTGTGTGTGTGTGTGTTGGGGTCATGTTTTTAGAACAGTATCATGATTTTAAAATTTTACCGCACGTTGTGCGAATTTGCGTCATTTGGGCGAGCCAGAAAAGTTCCAGGGTTCGAATCCCGGTTCGCCTTGCTTAAGGTTCTGGTTTGTCAGCACCATACCTCTGCTCGTAGTGAGTAAACCTTCTAAAATCTGCATCACTTTTGGCCTTCCTACCATATCAAACTGACAAGATGTGATATAGCTGAAATAATGTTCTATATAGTCACATGTAGTAAGAGACCGGAACACAGGAGTCCGGGCAGTCGAGGTTAAACTGTATTGATGATATCACATAATGATTTCACCATATTTTTGACAAAACGTGAATCTGTGTTTAAACTGTATGACATACATTAAGATGACTTACGCTAACACCATTTTGTGAAACGGAGCTCTGATCGATATAATCCCGCTAATCCAGACCCTGTCAATCCGGTTCCCTGTCGATCGAACGATTACTGATGGAAATCCCGTTTATCAATCATTTGGACACTACAATATCATGAATCGTTAATCCGGTCGGTTACGCGGTACCTCCGGATTAACGGGGTTTTGCGGTATTTTTATTTTCAACTGAATCTTATTTACTCGTAACGACGAATTGCCCAGAAATGTGTGAAATGATGGTTTTCACGATGATCACCTTTTACATTAAATTAATTAGAATACGTTTTGTTAAAGAAGGCACCCGTAAGGGCGTGC